AACTTAAACACTTCTACACATCAAAGAACGCCATCAACAGCGTGAGAAGGTAATTGACAGGATGGGAGAAAATACTTGCAGATCAAGTATCAGGTAAGGGATTAATATGCAAGATATATAAAGAACTCCTATGACCAAGAACAACAAAAAACAAATGACCCAATTAAAAACTTAACAAAGGACTCGAAGAAACATTTCTACAAAGACACACAGATGCCAACAAGCCCCGGAAAGGGCACTCACCGTCTCTAAGCAGTTAGGGAAACGCACGTCAAACCCACAATGAGATACCACTTGCCATTCATGAGGATGGCTATTACCCAAAGAAATAAACAAGTCAATAAAATAGCAATGTCGCTGAGGGGGTGGGGGAATTGGAACCCTTGCGCCCTGCTGGTGGCAATGGGAAGCGGTGCAGCCACTGGGCAAGCAGTACGGAGCTTCCCACCAAATTAAACACAGAACTCCCACACGATCCAGCAACGCCGTTTCTGCGTGTGGATCCAGTCTGTCTGAGCGGATATCTGCACACCCCTGTTCACAGCAGGAACTGTCACAACAGCCACAAAGTGGAAACAATGTAAAGGTCTAGCCAAAGATAAAAGAAGACACACAAAATGTGGTCTGTCCATAGAATGGAACCTCATTCTGTCTTAAACTAGGAAGGAAACTGACGCCTGCTACAACACCATGAACCTCGAAGAGATGATATTAAGTGAAATAAGCCAGGGACAGACGGACAAATAGTGCACGATTCCATGTCTATGAGGCACCTGGAATAGTCAAGCTCATGGACACGGAGAGTAGGGTGGTGGCGGCCAAGGGCAGAAGGGCAGAGGGGAGGGAGAACGGAAAGCTGATGCTCCGTGGGAGCAGAGTTTCACGCTGGAAGGTGAAGTTCTGCAGACGGATGGATGGTGGCCCAACTCTGTGCATCTCATTAAATGCCACCGGACCGTAGGCCCCCAAATTGTTAAAACAGCAATTTGTGCGTTATGCATATTTTGCCCCAATCTTTAAAAAGAGTTCAGAGTCCAGCACAGAGCTCCGGGGATCCCAGGCCCCCGGCAAGCAGGACCAGGGAGCTCCAGAGAGGAAGCAGGGCCGTCTCCTGGCCGGAATTCCAACAAGCCTGAGCCCTCCACACCCAACCAGGTGCACATGACATAGTGGCAAAGGCTAGCGGCCACACCAAAAGGTCCAGAGGGGGATGACAAGGAATCTGGGACATGGAGTGATCCGTGGATCCAGGACACCTCAGGATCAGAGTGGGCTGAATGGTGACCCCTACCCCCAAAAAACACATGCTCACTTGGAACCCCCAAACATTGTCCCATTTGGAAATAGGGTCTTGCTGGTATAATTAAGTTTAGGATCTGGAGATTCAATCACCTAGGATTACCCAGGGACCCAAGTCCAGGGATGAGTGTCCTCATCAGAGAGCAGCAGCAGAGCTTGGGGACACAGAAGGCTCTGTGACCACAGGCAGAGACTGCATGATGTCCTACAGGCCAAGGACCACCAGGGAACGCAGGCATCCCCCAGAAACCAGGAGGGTGTACAGAGCAGCAGCTCCCTCACGGCCTCCAGAAGGAACCAGCCCTGCCGACACCTTGAATTTGTACTTCCAGCCCCCAGAACTGTGGGAGAGTCCGTGGCTGCTGTTTCCGGCCGCTCAGTCTGTGGCACTTGCTTTCCGCAGCCCTGAGAAACTCCTCTGGGGGCCAAGTCCCTTGCGGGTCAGAGCCAGAAGAGGAAGGGGCCCAGGAAAGCTACTGGCCACACTTCTCGTCTTGGAGATGAGGGAAATAAAGCTGGAGAGGACACAGCGGATCCAGGCAGCTTGGGACCTGCAGCGTCTATCCAGGACCAGGGTGACAAGTACCTGGGGGAGGGACAGGTGTGGGTTGTCCAGCTCCCTGCCCTCCTCATGACAGTGGACAGCCCTGAGAGGAGCAGACCCCCACCTCCTAGATGAGCGTACTGTGCCTCACTCTGCCGGGCAGACGCCCAACCACGGACCAGGGCTCCAGTGACGGAGCAGCCCTCCCAGGACCCCCGCCGACGTCCATGACCGAGCAGGAGCCTTCCACATTCCCTGCCTACAACTCACCCGCAAGGCCTGTTCCCACCCTCCCCGAGGCCCAGCTGAGCTAAGTTACAGCTCCCCAGTGGAAAGTTCCCTTCTTGGAGATTCTCTCCCTGCTGAAATACAAGCGCTTGGAATGAGATAAAACTGCTTAATTTGTAAAAGCCACAGAGCCCGTCCAGAACAAGGAAAAAAACCCGACCCTTGGCTGGAAGGAGCGGCCTTCTGTGTCTCAGCGGCCAGTCGCTGCTCCATGACTCATCCCTGCCCTGCTGACAAGCCCTCTGGCATCTTCCCGGGGCGGTGGGGGGAGGGGCAGGCTCCAAGAGGGCCGGGGCTACCCCACTGCCCAGGAGGAACCCAGATCCCGACTCACAAACCTGGCAGGAGCCCAGCACTGCCAACAGAAGGAGCGAGCAGATGGAAGGGTCCTGCGGCTGCCTGCACCTGCCTTCCCCGCCCCACCAGCTCCTCCTGGACAGCACTGGGCAGTGGCCGAGAACCGGCCAGATGCATCTCAAATACCAGCCCAGTGGGGCCCGGGCAGTGGCAGGCCTGTCTGGAAGCGGTCAGGCGGGGCACTGGGCCAGGTGGGACATCGTGGCCCCCAGCCCTGCCTCTGCCTGCTGCGCAGGTGGGGACTGAGACAGTAGTCACAGTGCCTTACAGCAAGACAAGGGGAGAAGGAAGGAGCCTCCAGGGACCCTGCAGAGCAGGCTCAGAGGCCCACCGGCTGTGGGGTGCTGCCTGGGATCACACCGGTCCAACCCCTTTACATTTGAGACTAGGAAACTGAGGCCCCGGGCCACAGAGGGACAAGATGGAACGCATTTCCCGGGGTGGGGTGGGGGGCTGCTTAAGAGCCAAGTTACAATCAAAGACCACGGCCAAGGTCTGAGCAGTTCTGAGGAACATGTAGGGAAAGGGCTTGAGGCTTTCCATCATCAACAAAGCTTGGAAAGAAATAAGCAATTTTTAGTGACAACGCATCCCTATGAGAATTTCACCGATAGTACCCATTCCTCCTCAGGCACGTCCTGAGAGAAAGTCCCCTTTCCATCCCTCATGGTCAGTCCCAGCCGAGGGCAGTGGCGCCTAGTGTGGCCATGAAGGCGCATAGCTGACCGTTTTCCAAGGCAGTTTGGTTCAGCTCATGAAAAGCTGCTGGGGTCTGGCTAGCCCAGAAGGTTCCAAGAGTGCTGTCACTTCCCAAGGGTCCCCTCCCCCATTGTGTGTCCTGGCTCTCTGCTCCCCTGAGTCACCCATCAGGGCCATGCCTTGGTCATCTGGGAAGTGAAGGCTGGACCCACGGCCACCGGGGCCCTGTGAGCCAGGCTGGCGAAGCGACCATCCTCCCAAGCCGCACAGGGACCCTGTGAATGTCCCTCTGAGCAGGGAACTCAGGCTCCACAGCCCTGAACCAGCTGGCCCGTGTTGCTGAGTCCAGACCTTGCCTCCTGCAGGTCTCTATGGCTGCCCCACATCCTGTGGCGGTCCCAGTGGCACAAATGCATACACACACACACACACACACACGCACGCACGCACACACGCACACACACACGCACGCGCACATGGCCACTCAGCAGCTCTCTTCCCATCAGGATCTGATCAGCAGACAGAAGGAGCCTCAGGACGGGCCACCCTTCCCTCTGGCCTCTTGGGGAGCCCCCTAACACACACAGTGGCAAGCAACAGACGAGGACTATGGCATCTGTGGGGCGACATCCTGAGGCTCACCAGGGTCAGCACAGACTAGCTGAGGCCCAAGGATAGCCCAGACCTCCCCAGTGGACCCAGGACCCTCACGGGGGCCCGCAGCAGGCAGCAGGCGTGGTACTGAAGGGGAACCGACTCATGATGTCAGACACTGACCGAGTCACAGCGTGTGCCATGGCCGGCTGAGGGGCTGGGGACCCTGACCCAGGACAGGGGGCCATCGAACCGGGATGACTCAAGCCAGAGCAGCCTCCTTTCTCTTCAGGGTGGGCTTTCACACAGCCCCGATGGCTCCGTGCCCACTCCTTGGGGGCTGCCAGTGAGAATGGCCCATCTAGAAGAGGCTGGATACCCCAGGAGAGCAGGGATGGGCCCAGACCCTCGAGGCCCCTCCAGCCCAAGGACCAGCCATCTGCCCTCACTCCATGCCCTGAGGTGACATCAGGATGTTTTAAACAGTGATTCTGCTCCAGAATCTGAGTAGAGCCCACATCTGCTGGTCGTCCTGGCCTAGAGTGTCCCTCGGTGACCCTAGAAGATGTCACTCCCCCTCCCCATTGCAGGGTTCCCAGGTGACTGAGGACCCAAGTGACACACCCAGCTCCAAGGGGGACTCGCCGCTGCTAATGACCCAAGCCTCTGGGCGAATGGGACCAGCTGTATGTGCTGTGCGTGGGCATACACACGCACACACGTTTGCACATCTCTGAGCACCGGGAGCCCCACCCCTGCAATCGGCTCCTGGGAAGGCACCGAAATGCTGTTCCAGGGAAGAGACCCAGGCGGCCTTGAAGACTGACTTTGGCTGGCAGCTGAAACACAGCCCACACAGTGGGTAAACCAACCAGCTAGGGCCCACATGCCATCAGCCCAGACCCCAGCAGGCCGCCCCCCCAACCCCCACCCCCGGCCTTTCCTGGAGCCGCCACCGGTCTGAGCATTCACAGCGCCTGGAGAAGCAGAAGTGGCCCGCTGGGGACCGAGCGGAACAGCAAGGGGAAGGAGAGGAGAGCCTCAGTGAGAGCCAGACTTGGTGAGGCTCTGCTCTGGGAACACTGCATCCCACGGCCTCAGAACAGTCCAAAGCAACAGAGATACATCCACACGAATGAATAAAAGTGACCCCCGAGGGCTGATTTCCCGAAGCGCCAATATAGCTCTGAGTTAGGGGAGGGGGCTGCGGGGGGCCTACCTGTGATCCGGTCTCTCTCCATTACTACGGATATATTTAGCAGCAGGCGGGAGTCCCGGCGTCCCCCTTTCCAGAGGCGTCCTCCCCTTCTCACCCCCGACGCCCTCCCTCTTTCGGCCTCCTCCTCCTCCTCCTCCTCCTCCAAAAACACTCTTTGTCTGGTCTAATTTCTTCAATCTGTTGCAATCACGAACGCATCCAAATTACCACATTTCCATGTGCTGATCATATGTTTGTGCCCCAAACTGAGGTAGCATTGTCTCTGTGCATCGGGAGGGAGAAGAGCCGGAGGCCGCGCGGGAGAGGAGGTGGGACGGGGGCGGCCGCGAGGCTCCCGCAGCCCGGGTCCGGCCGGCCCGTCTGGGCTTTGTGCGCCGGCAGGCTCCGGAGGCGTAGGGTGCAGCGGGCGGCTTCCGGCCTTCTCTCCACCCCCTCCAGCCCCTCCGCCAGGCCTGCTGCTCCTTTTTAATATCCACTTGGAGAAGCTTAACTTAGCCTCTTGGAAACCAGCTCGCAGTCAAATTCCTGGCAACTTCCAAAGTCTTTCATTTTCCCCGGCCCACGAGGCGACGTTTCCTCTGGCCGAAGCGTTTGAGAAAAGCCCCGTCGCGGCCTCGCCTTCCCTGAGCCGCGGGGGCCCTGCAGCCCGGCCGACCCCTCTCCCTGTTGGGCCCCGAGGAGGCAGGCGGCCAGGGAGGGCTCCAGAGCACCTGCCCCGACGAGCCCCGTGGAGTTGTCCCTGGGGCTGCCCGGTGACATAGGCCGAAGGCTCGTCCCCGCCCAGGCTGGTGGGGGTGGGGAGGTGGCCCGAAGGAGACTTCCTGGAAGGTCCCAGTTACTCATGAGTCAGTGAGTCCCCAGCTGTCCCCGGGGAGGGAGCCTGGCTCCTCAGCGCAGTTCCCCATACTCAGCACTTCTCTGGGAGGGGCCCCCCAAGGCCTGGGGTGGGGGGGCTCAGCTGTTTCCTGCTCTTCCCCTGGACTGGGGGGGCACTGCTCACCTGGCAAACTCGGGGTGGGGGGGACCAGCACCTGGTCAGAGTTGGGGGGTGCTGTCCACGCACATCAGCTGGATGGTGGGGACAAAGTCCCATCCCCTCCTGCCTGGGACGGGACCTCAGACGCAGTCTCCTATGTAGCAAAGGTGTCTCCTTGGTGGCAGGGGCACCAAACAGGAACCATCTCCCCACTCCCACCCCCTCCAAGCAGAGCCTGGAGGACAGCCCCAAAAGTGGCCTGCCTGCCGAGGGAATGTGGGGACAGAGTCTCAGCCCAGGGAGGTCCCACGAGCTCAAAAATGGCCCCAAAGATGTCACACACCCTAATCTCTGCAAATGGGACTTTATTTGGAGAGTCTTTGCAGATGGGATTAAACAAAGGGTCCTGATTAGCCTGGGTTAGGAGGGGGAGCCCTCAGTGCGGTTGGGTTCCTCTCGCCTCATGCAGGAGGGAGGCAGAGAGAGGTGTGCAGACAAAAGGGATGGGAAGGCAGAGCAGAAACCTGACGCCCCCACCTTTGAAGGCTGGATACAGCCCCCAGAAGCAAGAGGCCAGGAAATGATCCTTTCCTGGAGCCTTAGGGCGGGGGTTGGGGGCGGCCCAGCCACACCTGGATCTCAGACTCCAGCTCTAGAACTTTGCGAGAACACACTTCTGTCCTTGCGACCCACCGGATCTGTGGCGATGTGTTCAGGGCCCCCAGGGAACACAGACAGGCCCTGTAAACTGGCAAGCCCACCAACCACTAACAATCTTTGAGCTAGGACAATGGCAATCACGGAGAATTTGGGGGGGGGGGTTATCCATTCAAATCTCTTCCCCGATTTTGAAAAAAATATTCCTCACAAAATCAGGTTTTCCTGATTATAAACATAATATGTGTTCATTGTATTGAATTTAGACACGACAGAAAAGATACAAAGAAGAAACCCCTTTAATACACGTGGGACAGGTGGCTCCGCAGGGCAAGCCAGCCCAGCAGGGCCCCACAGACAGGTCCGCTGGTGGGAATCCGGGGTAGGCCAGGCTTCGGGCTGGCCATGCCCCCCCCCCCACTCCTGCCACCTCCTGCAGGCGCCCAGTGCTCAGGCCCAGGCCGTGATTTCACTGTTGTCCTCACAGCCAGCTGAGCACAGCTCTGACCCTCGGTGCTTCCCTGGCAGAGTTTGGCTCAACGTCCATCCCTTCCCCCCTGCCCCCCGCCCCATGCCTAAAAATCCAAGCATTCTGGCCCAAGCAGGGGAGCGTTTGAAACCAAAAACCTAGCAGCACCAATTGGCTCCAATGAGGCCCGTGTTGTCATGAGCCAGCTCAGAGGCTGGGCACAGAGGTGGGGCGAGGCCAAGCCGTGGGAGAAGGCGGCAGCCAACCCCCCAGCGCTCATCGAGGCTGCGGCTAGGCACCAGCACTGCCCACACCCAGCGGGGGAGGGGAGCAACGGGCCAGACCAGGCCAGGGACCTGCATCCCCAAAGTGGGTTCCCCACGTGGCTCTCTCCTCCCCTGACAAGGCTCTGTGGTTACATAAACTAGATGCAGGCCTTAGATGCCTCCAGCGCATTAGCATAGTAAATACGAGAGCCTAGCATCCCTGTGGGGGGCTGGCTTCCTTCCACCCAGCACTTCCCAAATTGGACCAACACCTGCCACCTGGGGGAGGCAGGACCCCCTCCCCCCACCGTGGCCACAGCCTTGGGAAATTGTCCCCGCTCCCAGCCTCCCCCACCAGCCGGTGTCCTGGGGTGGGCACCGTTGCCCCACAGCCTCTTCTAGACAGTTTCTAAGATGGTATCTCTGTCCTTTACCCCCCCCAACAGATCTGCACGCACCGCCCCCTTCCCCCCCTGCAGACTCCTGACCACCATCCATGTCCCCATCCCCCTGCGAGGGGCGTGTAGGGGATAGGAGGAAGAGTTGGGGGATAGCTTGGGGGATGGCTTTCTGTCAGGCCAGGAGGATGACTCCCATGATGCGCACAGCAGGGTCCCTGGACCAACGTGACCTCATTCCCGGGATGCGCTTCTGAGGAGGGGCCATGAGGACACAGGGACAGAGGAGCCTGGCGGAAAGGAGACTTCCTGAGGCCCTGGGCTCAGGCTTCCCACCCCCTCTCGCCACCCCCTGCTCCACGCAGACGCTCTCGAATCCTCCATAATCAGCTCCAACTACGGGGAGTTCTCACTCTAAGAAATGACTTTTCAGTTCATTTCCTGCTCATCCCTGACTCCAGCACCGAGGTCGGCTTCCCTGAGTCAACAACGAAGGCGCTCCATCCTGATGCCTCCCGCGGCCCCTCCCGCGGCTGCCGCTGCCCCTACTGTACCTGCCAGCAGAGCGGGCACCCGCCCCAGCCTGGCCCACCAAGCAAGGCCCAGAGTGAGGCGGGTTCCGGGCTGGGGCCGGCTACCTTCCTCTCAGGAACCTTCTCTCCACTCTTTATTGAGCAGCAAGTTTCGGCTGTTCCTAAATAAATACAACCCAGCTGCTCTCTGCCTTGGGGACGGCTGTGGGGTTTACTGGTGCGAACAGCCCGGGCCGGCCCGTTGCTGTGGGAGTTCTTCCAGAACAGTGTGGAAGGGAACCAAGACAATGGAGAGGGGCGGCCCAGGCGTGGCCGAATTCCGCCACCAACAGGTCTCCTGCTCAGTCACCCATCCCGGGCCGGGGCCGGAACCGGAGCCTCGTGCCTCCAGGAGAACCCCACTGCCCGTGTGGCACAAGGGGATGGAGGAGAGAGGAGGCCCGGATCTCGGGAGCATCTGCCCCCGCATCCCCTGTTGAAACATCTCCCCAGATCACCGAGAAAGTCCACGAAGGGCTAGTGTCTTCCCCTTCCTGCCGAGAGCCCAACGTTCTGCCCGCTCGCTCGCTAGGTGCCCAACACGGGCTCGCAGGAAGAACAATGAACTTGAAGAGCCAACGTGTCGGCTCTCCCGACCAGCTCGGCCGACAGAACGTTCTGCGATGATGTCAACGTGCTCTATCTACCGCCTTCAATGTGGGGGCCACGTGTGCCCACTGCCGCAGGGCTGTGCTGCTCCCAAACCCTCCTCCCCAGAGACACTGCATTCTCCATGAATTTCTTCACCAGAACACGAAGGGAAAAGCTACTTTTCAGCCAATGCAAAAGAAGGCTGACATTTCTATTTTAAACTCATTCTTGGGCCCATCACCCCAAGCTTGTCCTTCCCAGTTGAGTGCAACAATATTCACGGCCTGCGAGCCGTGTGCCATAAGAACACCCAGCCCTGTGGCCGGGAGGACAAAGAAACCGCCAAGAACACCCAGCCCTGTGGCCGGGAGGACAAAGAAACCGCCAAGGCCAACCCTGGAGATGGACAGGTTGGGTCAAAGTCAAGGCCTTCAGAAGTAAGAAGGTACAGGGTCTGTCCTGGCACCGTGGCCGGGGGGGGAAGGCTGGGGAAGGCCTCCCCGTCAAGGAGGGAGGACGGGGCAGTGAGAGCCTGGAAGGCGAGACAGGTCAGGCTGGGAAGCGTCTTGAACACTGTCCTGTGCTTTAGTTCATCCCGTGCGGAAAAGGCAACTAGGGGTCCTTTAAGTAAGAGGCCCTGACCAGGTCTGTTTTGGATAATCACACGGATGGAGCCTGTGCGCGCACGCAGGTCTCGGCAAATGCCACTGAAGGCCGACGGGGCCAGGGGAGCGTCCGTGGGGAGAAGGGTGCGGACGCGGGGGGGCACCGATGCCTGACCGCGCCTGGGCCACGAGGCAGCCCATCCAACGGTCATTCGAGGGCAGTGGGAGTTGAGAAGGTCTCGGTGACTTGCTGACCTGAGGGTGCTGGGGGTGAGGCAAAGGTCAAGGACGACGGCTGAGATTTCCTGCTTGAGGACCTCAGTGGACGGCCAGGCTGAGACCCGAGAGAAACAAAGGAGGAGCGGGTGTCCGCGGGTGGGAAGGGCGGCTCCAGCGAGGGGTGCCTGTGGGAGCCTCGGGCAAGGCCCACGGGCAGCCAGACTCTGGCGATGTCTTCCTTGACCAGCGCCCCGCTGCCAAGCCACACTGTCTTACACGCCCACATGGCTGGGACGATAGCGGCCGGGCTCCGCGTACAGCCAGGTGTCCTAAGCGCGAGGTGGAGAGCTCCCCGGGGCCTGGAGCAAGGAGGGGTGTGCGAGCCTGGACAGAAAGACTGGGGGGAGGGCAGGAAGACCCACCAGGGATGCCGTGGGGCATCTACTTGTGAGGCGTAAGGGCAGAGACACAGCCCAGACAGCAGCGTTTCAGGGAGACCCTCCTGCGGGGAGAGTGCCGTCCACCCACCCGGGCCCAGGGGCATGTACAGGGCTTCCTGGGGCTGCTGTCACAGATCGCCATGAACAGAGAGGCTTAAAACAGCAGAAGCAGATTGTCTCCCTGTTCGGGAGGCGGAAGCCTAAAATCAAGGTATCAGCGGGGGCCGAGCTTCCTCCAGCGACCGTGGGAAAAACCCTTCCTGCATCTTCGAGCGTCCCTGGGCTTGTGGCACCTCCCTCCATCTCTGCCTGTGTCCTCACGTGGCCTGCTCCCCTGTACCTCTCCTCTTCCTGTAAGGCCCCCCCGCCGTCGGCCT